AAACGGGGAATGGCGCCCATGCGGTGGTTACCGAGCCTTGAATGCACAAACGGTACCGGATCGATATCCGCTGCCGCACATACAGGACTTCACTCACTTTTTGTACCAGAAAGACATGTTCAGCAAGATAGACCTCAATCGAGCGTACCACCAGATCCCTATCGAACCCGGCGACATATACAAAACGGCGATTACCACTCCGTTTAGGTTATTCGAGTTTACACATATGCCGTTTGGCCTGTGCAACGCGGCAAAAACGTTCCAAAGGTTAATGCACGCAGTGTTTCAGGGACTCGATTTCGTTTTTGCATACATCGATGATGTGTGTATCGCTTCTGAAGGCGTCGAGCAACATAAAGCCCACTTGCGGCAAGTCTTCGAACGTCTTCGTCAATTCCACCTAACAGTCAACTTAGAGAAGTGCAAATTCGCTCAAACGCAAATCGAATTCCTGGGACACGCAGTTACCTCGGAGGGCATCAAACCGTTACCCGAGAAGGTTCAAGCGATCATCAACTTCCCGGTGCCGGAAGTCGCCAAAGAGTTACGACGTTTTTTGGCAATGATAAATTTTTATCGTCGCTTCCTGCCAAACGCGGTGCAACACCAAATACCCCTCGTCAAATTAACACCAGGTAACCGAAAAAAAACGACACAACGCGAATCAAATGGACCGACGAGGCAATCAACCATTTCAACGAATGCAAAAAAGAACTGGAAAACGCAACGCTATTGGTTCACCCAGCACCGAACGCTCGAATATCGCTCACAGCGACACTGCCATCGGCACAGCACTTCATCAAATTGTACACGTTTAGTTTCAGCCGCTGGCGTTTTCAGTCTAAAACTCATCGAAGCACAACAGAGGTACAGTATCTACGACAGGGAATTACTCGCGGTATACCTAGCTATCAAACATTTCCGAGCCATGCTGGAGGGAAGACTTCGAGGTACGAACATACCACAAACCGTTAGTCTACGCTGTCGCACAAAAATACGAAAAGGCATCACTGCGACAGCTGCGTCATCTGGACTTCACCAGTCAATTTACGACGAACATCATACACGTCGCAGGCGACGGGAACAGGACAGCAGACACACTATCGGCTATCGAAGCGGTTGAATCAATAACCATCGACTACCACCGGATTGCCGAAGATCAAGTTAGTTGCCCAGAACTGAAGAAACTCATCGAAGGCGACACAAAGATTATCATTCCAAACACAAGGCATACAATCTACTGCGATACATCTATAGCATTTTCAGTTTAAATGAAACTTTTTTCAAATTAAATGAAACCTTTTTCAGGTTAAGCGAAACCCTTTTCAAATTAAATGAAACCTTTTTCGGATTCTATGAAACTTTATTCAAATTAAATGAAACTTTTTTCAGATTCAATCCAAACCAAATGAAACTTTTTTCAAATTAAATGAAACCTTTTTCAGATTCTATGAAACTTTATTCAAATTAAATGAAACTTTTTTCAGATTCAATCCAAACCAAATGAAACTTTTTTCAAATTAAATGACACTTTATTCAAATTAACAGCCAATGTAAGCAATTTAAGTGAAAAATGATCTTAATTTTTTTAATTTTATATGGAAATTGGCAGAAAATAAAAAATAATATTTCATTTAAATTGCTGGTGAAACTGGCTGTAAGTATTAAACATTTTTAAAAGTAAGGAACAGGAAATCAGCTTAACCTATTAAGAGCCGTTTGCACCATGTCTGGCTAACACTAAAGGCTCTGTTATGCATACTTGGCTTTGCTTGAGAGTTGTCACATAAGGAATCTGTTAAATTAGCTTCGCGTGTAAGCTGTTACCCAACGCACAGCATACGTAGAAGTCTGTTGGTTTTTGATTTCTACGTAAAAACACGTACGTAACAGAGCCTTAACTCACAGTTACACATCGTTATCGACGCCATACTTATATCAGGGAGTCGATAACGCCGATTATGATGTTTAACTGGGAGAATATTTTTACTGTTGCTACACGAATTCAAAGCTGTAAACTATTATTTTCTTAAGGGAGAAGAGGGAAAAAAAGTACAAATACTCTCCCTTCTCACTCACTTGCTTAAGCGAAATGTAAAATTTGGCATTTGCCACAGCACAGCAACATTCAACTTCGATTCAATAATAATTTTGACATGTCCCATTTCTCTTTTCCTTTTCACATCATCCTTTACATGTACTCCCGAAAACAGAGATATTTGAAGTTTTATAAAATGAATAAATTATATGATTTGCATAGTTACCAAAACCCCTCGACAACAAACCAACCAACCTACCAAAGCCTTATTTTAAGAAATGAAACTACCAATTTTGGTCCAATTGGACCGAAACGGCAACACTGTATTCAACATGCCTTGACCCTAAGGGAGAGCAACATTCATTCATTTCATTTAATTTGAATAAAGTTTCATTGAATCTGAAAAAAGATCTCATTTAATTTGAATAAAGTTTAACTGCATCTGAAAAAGGTTTCATTTAATTTGAAAAAGGTTTCGCTTAACATGAAACAGGTTTCATTTAATTTGAAAAAGGTTTCGCTTAATTTGAAAACGGTTTCATTTAAACTGAAAATGCTATACATCGGAAGTACATCCATTCGTACCACGCCCGCATCGCAAAGATATCATCGACAAAATGCATAGCATCTCGCACGGAGGCGTGCGTGCAACCACAAAGCTCATCAAGGCACGCTTTGTTTGGCCAAATATGGGCAAGAAGTGCAACGATATCTCAGCTGCCAAAAATCTAAGGTCAGTAGGCACGTTCGCTCACCACTTGTAACAACTTTCTTTGCCGTCGTGTAGATTCGAACACATCAACATCGATCTCATCGGACCACTTCCGCCATCGAGTGAATTCCAGTACTGCCTCACGATTATCGACAGGTATACGCGATGGCCAGAAGCCGTTCCTCTGAGAGGCATAACAGCGGAAACAGTCGCCAGAAAACTCATCAATGTTTGGATTTAGCGCTTTGGTATACTAGCACGCATGACAACCAACCAAGGAAGACAGTCCGAGACGCAGCTTTTTAACGAGTTGTCACGCATGCTGGGTATAACCCACCTGCGGACAACGGCATATCACCCGCAAGCAAATGGCATCATCGAACGCTGGCATCGCCCACTGAAAACAGCAATAACGTGTCACGAACGACAAGACTGGATAAGCCGCTTGCCTATAATCTTGCTAGGACTCCGCACAGCATTCAAGCCCGACATCGGTACAAACGCCGCGCAACTTGTCTACGGTACCACATTACGGTTGTCTGGACAGTTTTTTAACGATAGGCAAATCTTCCGACCACAGTCGGACTTCGTCAGTCAGCTTTCCGACATAATGCAGGAGATTCGCCCAACTCAAACCGCGAATCATGATTCCTCAAAAGCATTCGTATTCAGCAAACTTGCCGATGCAACGCGCATATTTGTACACAACGATAAAGCTCGACTGGCGTTCCATCCACCTTACGATGGCCCATATCCAGTGATCTCTAGACACCCTAAATATTACACCGTCAAAATCAACCGCAACAACGTAAATATATCCAGAGACCGACTTAAGCCAGCATTCATCGAATCCCATCAAGCAGATACTCAACCAACGACAACCGCGACTCCACAACATTCAGCCACGACGCACACAACACCATCATCTACATTATCATCGACACCCGAACAGTTGCCTCCGAAGGAGACATCAACAAACCGCAGCGGACGCAGGATAAGACTCCCCGTCCGTTTCCAGACGTAAAGTCTGGAGGGAGCACTGTGGCAACCTGGCTGAACTAACGAAACGATGGCAACCCAGCATAGCAAGTGCACTTAATCGTTTTGACAGAATAAATTCTTAGCAATCGACTGGCCGGTGAATATAGACTTAATTACTTTTTCATCTACATTTAACATAGAAACAAGTTCATTGTAAAGATTAATATTTAGACATTAAATAATACCGAAGTATTATATGCGAATTTGATTTGTGTTTAAATAAAGCGAGTAAATCTTTTTGACTCATTAAATCCCACACTAGAGTTCACTCTTTAAGGCAAAACTGTGTGCGTTTGACAAAAGGGCAGAAATGCAAAATATTCGACAGTTTTTACAACAAACATATGGCAACATTTCGCACTTGTAGTTTCGCACAAACGCACAGCTGAAACCCTGACTGAAATGCAAAGAGCGAGAAAACTGTGCTGTGCTGTTGGTATATCGCTTCGGCAGTTAAAGCGACAGCACTAACGAAGCGCAACGAATATTTAAAACCGCGCTGTTGCTGAAGTGTTTGAAATTTCGCGGCCAGAGCAACAACACTGTTCATGCTTTTATGCAAAACGAAGTCCTCATTTTTGCCTTTCGCATCGTAACATAGTAACAAAATAAACTATCTTATGTTGAAAAAACTATGTGCTTATTTAATAAATATGTTAAATTATGTATTTTAATAGTGTTTAAAAAGTGGAAACTGCTGATTTAGTGCATTTTTGATCGTGTAATTTCTCATACAAAATAGCGATATTTAAAAAAGTTGTTTGTTCGTAACTTTTAAATGGTTATTAGTATTAACTTTTCGCCTCCGGATTGTTGATACAGAGACCGAAACGCGTCGATTGGTACCCTTCCCTTTTTTGGACCTTTTTTTAGCAGTTGTACTTATACCTGAGGGTAATCTGAGTTTAAATCACAGTCGGAAAAAACTGGTGGGAAATGTTTAGTTATTTGTACAATGATTTTGTGGCATGGAGCGGCGGTTTTAGGGATGCAAAAAAACATCGATGCATCGGAAACATCGATGTTTGCTATTCGATGTATCGAATAAAACCGGTGTGTTGGACTTTCCGATATACATCGATATATCGACGTTTTTTTATGCATCGACTTTTGTGTGCAATGTACACTGTACATACTAAAATTATTTTGTAAACTTCCAATTTCTTCGCTCTAGTAATTATTTAAATGTGGATTTTTCACTATTTTTGTACTATTACTATTGCACTAATAAATTGCTACCTTATTAGTAGAAACGTTTAGTGCCAAAAGACCATCTATTTGATTAATATTATATTGACACTCTAAAACCAATTTGGACAGATTCTAAACAGCAATTTCTCAAATTGTTTCACATAGCTTATCAACTTAGTGAAATAATATAAAGTGCGCCAGCCAGTTTGATGTACGCTTATTTCAAAGCAAAATTTGAGTTTCGTCATTTTCGCTTTTTTAAATTCTGGCATTAACCCTTGGTTTTGCTGCATACCTCTGCCCGATTTCAGCATAGATCCTCATTCTGATGGACTGAAAACCTCAGTACTGCAGCGTAATGTGTGCTTTTGCACATGCTGCAAGAATTTATTGACATATATTTTTTGAATTTTTTACTCAAATCAAAAAAAGGGTTAACATGAAAGTCAAATGAAGGAAAAAATTATGATAATAAACTGCCAAATAAGTATACCGAAATAGAATGTCACTGCTAGCTGGCACACTTTATATTATTTCATTATGCTTATAAACAATTAACAATTGTCACCACTTCCGTACCTTACGAAATTTTTTTTTCGAAGGCTTCTCAAAAGAACAGAAAAAGCTGGGATTTGTAACTTTTTAAATCAATTAATACATTTCACTGTGATTCATTACTTAAACACTTATCGAAGTTACGACTGTTTCATTATCTTGTTGTATATTTTTAATTAAAAGAGACTGTTGATATTTTCATTCGATGCATCGAAAATATCGATGTTTTTATGCGATACATCGATATGCATGGATGCTATATTTCGATGCATCAAATCGAGAAAACATCGATGTATTTTTTTGACTTGCATCCGTAGGGGAGGTGGATGGGTTGTGGGACCTAAAACCCCACCCATTAGAAAGAGCGCAGTCCAAACTTTAAGAAAAAACATCAGTTGCCTAGAGGTTTACATAGGTATATACATGACTTCTGCACTTGCCAAATCTATTAAATACTCTTTGAAAAATCTTAAGCTTAAGTGCCAAAGTTTATAATAACTTTATGTTGTATATAATATTTATAACATTCTTTGTTTGAATTTATAATATAATACCCTGTTCGGGCCGACAACGAAAACACTTTGAAAACGAGTTTGGGGATTGTGGGCTGTGTGTGTTTTCGTTGACATTTCTTTTATCTTTTGTTTACAGTTTTGCTACGAAAAAACGAATTCAATATCTTTGTCTTTCATTTTCTTTTCATTAGCAACCTTTTTCTTTTGTTCCTATTTTAATTTGGCCAGCCAATTGACAGTAAATCACAGCTAGTGCATTAAAGATTATAAATCATGACGACAAATATATCTAAAATACTAGTGAAGATACCGATTGGAATGAGTGGAACGTAAATTTTCAAGTATTTTTCAGCGAAAACTGGCTTTTGTTTGACAGATTTTACATGGACGAAAACACAAGGTTTAGGTCGAAAACCAGTTATAGCAACGAAAACATGTTTTCGATGTCGGTGCGAACATGGTATAAGGGGTATTTAAAAAAATAATGTACATTATTTGATCGCATCGCTCATCTTTTTTACCTTCCTTTTATTAGCTCGGGATGTAACTATGTAATATTGATTCGCCTAAAAGATGCAGCGATTTCTATTCTCAAGTTACATACCTGATGACAGTACGAATGGCAATTATAATAGGGAGGTTTTAGTTTTTTAAACTATAATTGGTGATTCGAAATAACGCATGACCTTACATACGTTCGTACATATCGCCAATCATAACTCACAATTTCGTAAATATCATAAAAAAATGTTTTCAAACTCATTTCTTTAGAACAAAATTTGTGTTTAAAGGACAGATAAATTTTAAAAGCTACTTGAGTAAACGGCCCTAATTTTTATATTTTCATAACACAACCATTAATAACATAATTTTTTCTAGTCGAAAATAACGTTGCAATATATGAAGGAACATCTACATTTGTCAAAGGCTTTATAACCACTGCATCTAAACAACTTTTAAATACGGACCAACTTCTAATGAAATCGCAGGTAATAAAACCATTGAATTTGAGGTCAAGTTGTTTTTACTTTAATAAGTATAATTTTTCCGAAAAATACTACGTTAACACTAGTTCGGTCGACGAGTCTCCGGGGTTACTATTTTACCTTTTTCCAGTCCTATTCTGCGTTGGTAACACACATTTTGTTACCGGTAGATAAAGTTCCTGGTAATTTTTCAGCCCTTTTGGCATTCGCTCACTGGTACATTTTCTTACCATCTCATAAGCAGCTAACAAAATATTGCCCCGTGAAGTATGCAACACCAGAATTTATACAAAACTTCATAGCTGAATTGCTGAATAGATTAAATTGTTGCCAAGGTACTTAGAATTCCGATTACAAATGTCAAACTAAACTAAGGAAATGTCAAAAATCGATCGTTATCTTATAATCAACCTGGTTAACAAACTCGACATTCGTGCTAAAAATAATTCGTCTATAGATCGATAATTGGTTATGGCACTACGACCGGTAGGTCTATTGTACCCTTAGCTCATCACAACACCTCGACTAGCCCTAGAGAGACTCTAAAAATCCGGTGATAGTGTATGTGGTGAGGGTCTGCCTCACCGTTCCCATAGTAGTCCTGGAAACCCAGGCCAATGCACCATAGGTCACTATTGGTGTTACTATCATGGTGTACATACATTTTTAGACTCTAGGAGTGCACCCCCAGGATTTTCCCGCTAGACGTTTACACACCATCATCGCTCTCGTAGCCTTCGAGGTGACCGCATCAACATGGAGTCATCGACAGAAGCTTGGAGTCCAGGATAAGTCGCAGATACTTCACCTCTGTGGCGACATTGATCGCGACCCCATCCAAGTTCAAGTTCCTCATCCCCTGAAGAGTTCGTTTTTATAGTGAAGGGGACTGTCTGACTTGGAAGGATTGATATTTAAACCACACCACTTTTTTGCAATGTTGAGTCCTCTTTTTATACGATGTCACAGAGAGTACTTGCGAACTTCCCTCTATCGATAATCACTATATCATCCGCGTACCCTTGGCATCGCACGCCCTCATTAGTTAGTATATATATAGGATTTCGTCAACAACTAAGCTCCACAGCAGGGGAGATAATACCCGTCTTTCCGGACACTCTTTCGTCGTTTGTATTTGAACGACGCTATGACGCGATCCTAGTCTGAAGCAACCTTGCTATCCATCTGTGGATGATTGGATGAACATTATGTTCCTCAAGTGCTCTGTCGACTCCCAGGTGGGAGGCGTTCTTGAAGGCCCCCTCGATGTCAAAGAAGGCTCATCACACTCAAAGGCCCCTTGTATTTATTCTGTCAGAGCTTACAGCGCAGTGTACGTGGATCTGCCCACTCTGTACGCGTGGAATGCAGAGGGGTGTGTTTCATAGTGTTAAATCTGATGTCATGGTCGATAATTTTCTCCATAGTCTTTAACATAAAGGAGGTTGGACTTATCGGCCTGACAGACTTGCCAAGAGAGTAATCGGTCTTACCTACCGTCGGGATAAATATAACCCGTGCCCCGCCACACAACGGGAGTGTGTTTCACAGTGTTAAACCTGATGTTATGGTCGATAATTTTCTCCATAGCCTTTAATATAAAGGAGGTGAAACTTATCGGCCTGAAAGACTTGGCAAGAGAGTAATCTCTCTTACCTACCTTCGGAATAAAGATAACTCAGGCCCCCGCCACACCACGGGAATGTGGGCTAGACTGTTCCTCATAATATCCACAAGATGTGGAAGTAGGAGCACCGCACCCTGCTTCAGCAACACTGGACACACGCCATCCACACCGGGAGCCTTGTACCGTTCGGTTTGTCAGGCTATTAGCCAGCTTCCTGTCCGATGGAGGTGGCCTGGTCGTATGAAATACCGTATCCCAGAGGTTGGAATGACGTCCGGGAAGTGGGCCGACAACAGGGTGACTGCCCTTTCCTGTTCAGTACCTGAAAAGTCCCATTACGTAGCCTAATAGCCAGCCTGATCCCTGTTTTGTCTCTCGCCAAGGCTTTGTGAAGCCTAGCAGCTGCAGAAGTAGATGCAGTGTTCTCACAGAAAATCATAAAGCTGCTACGCTTAGCCTTTCTAATCTCCTTATTGCATTTTGTCAGACTGAGATACCCCCATTACCCGGTGCGCTTTGCTCGATTGAAAAGTCTCCGCACTTTTTCCTAAGTACTGAGAGTTCGCGTGACCACCAGGGAGGCTGGACATTTCTCTTTGGCCTTGACATGGGACAGCTGGAATTAAAGGCATCCAAAATAATGCCATTCAGCCTGTTGACCCTGTGCTCTAACTCCATACAATCAACCTTTCTATGTTGTGCCTCTAACTTGGTTAGACTTAGTAACCTTAGTCTTAGACTATGTTCAAACAGGCCAATTATCTGAGGCAATTAAGCTTTAAATTGCGGCATTGAGTTTGGTGTTCACACATACGTCAGCTGCGCAATAAGCGATACGAAATCAGCTGCTGGATTACCTACAGTGATGAAAAAAGTTGGTTCAATCGTACCTTTATTTAGTTTGAAAGTACATTCGGTACAAACACACTATTTTAGGTAAATTTGGAACGTAGCCAAATAACTTCCCAGGAAATCAGTTCTTATATTTATTGACATTTCAATACATTTTCTAGTGCGGGCAACTGGGCTAATAGCTTCCCTTTTTTGTGAAGGGGCATACAAATGATATAGAAGCGTGGTCAAAGTAGCGCAACTAATTGATTTCGCTAGATACACGGAAAAGATTTATTTTTGAAACGCCATCGAAGAACTGGGAGGAAAGTGGTTCACCTTTTCTACAACATTGTTTTGTCTCGCGCTGCTCGAAGAGATTCTTTTCATAACCAAACTTTGTTTAATGTGATTACAAAAGTTGAGATGGTATCGATGGGAATTGTTATCCTCCTATGTTTTTATGTAGAAATACATATCGTCGATGTTTTTGCAAAACCGCCCATCGCCCAATTGCAAAACCGCCCATCGCCCAATTGCAAAACCGCCTATCTACGGCACTCAAATTTAACAGGAGAGCGAAACAACGGTTTATTCTTTGAAGGCGTTGCCTTGATAGGCGGTATTTTCCGTAGCTATTATTTTACAAATCTGTTGTTTTAATAACGATTTAACGATTTTTATGCATAAATCTCGATGCCTGGAGTTCAGGGTTACCAAATCTCTTTTTTTGCCACAACGGCGATTTAGGCGGTTTTGAAAATACATCGGCGATATTTACTCTTTAGGTACATCTGTCTACTTTTAGGTAAAGTTTTCCGTAAATTAGGTAAAATTTTATAATTCACTTTTCCATACCTGATGGAATATCAGCTGTAAAAGGAGACCAGAAACAAACAGCTAACTGCCCTTTGTTTTAATAAACATACCTCCAAGTCAAAATTAAACATACCTACCAGGGTTGCATTGAGAATCTGACACAAATTAATTGCCAATTAATTTTTAATTGGCAATTAATAATTTGAAATTTTGTATGATAAATTGGGTAATAATTAAGGCTTAAATTGGTGAAAAGATTCTTAATTGCCAATTAGGTGCCTGTTTGAACATAGTCTTAGTACTTCCTCGTACTTAATCCAGTGTTGTCATGGGGTTTTTCTTGGGGTAACCTGTTCTAACGTCTGCTCCCAGTGTAAATCAGATAATCCTATGATCAGACAGTGAGGGCTCACTGAGCCCCGCCACTGAGCAATCAGAGGACTGGCCATTCTGCTGCTGAGAGTAATGTAGAGTAATTCCTCTCTGATCGTAGTGATGCACGTTGGCTCATTTCCAACATTGTGAAAGCACAGGTCTTCGCTAATTATATATTCCAGAAGGCACTCACCCCTACGGTTTGTGTTCGAGCTGCCCCACTTCATGTTGTGGGCGTTCGCATCGCAGCCAAGTCGTCTCCTGTGGCAGAATTCTAAAAGCTGCTGTACCTCAAGGGGTGGCACGCTGGCGTTGTCCTCCGGAAAGTAGGCCGCAGGCAAGACGAGCTCCATCTCCCTCCAGAGTAGCCTGGACCGCTACCAGATCCTGTGTAAGAAACTCTGTAATGCAGAAATAATTAATATTATTCTTTAGCTCTGGGTCTCTCACAGGAGAGGTGCCAAGTAATCCTATTGCTGTTGTGATTGAGGCCCCTCACCTGACCCTGTAGGTTCACGCTTCCTGTATCAGTAGAATTCCCAGGACCTCCAATACCAGATTGACTGTACTAAAATTAATTTAAATATTGGGAAACTTTAAACATATAAGAACGTAAATTACCGCTCTCGTTTTTGCGTTACTTTACAGAGTTTTTCGGTTACTGAACGACAGTAAAAGCTAACTAGCCACAATTTCGAAACCTTTTATTAATGTACAGACTTTTTATAGGGTTTATGAAGTTTATACGGTTTTTACTCATTTAGATGAGTAGCCTTAACGTTTAAAACTTGTTAACACCAGTGGTTATTTCTATTTACATATATATTTCTTCTTTTATTTCAGGTTACTATGCAATCAGTTTTATGTTCGTTAAAAAATTCAAAAGTGAATATAAAGCAGCTGCATGAAAAAAACAGTAATGTTTTCACCACGAACTTTTTACCAACTATTAACCTTTAATTTTATATAGAAGAATAAAACTTCATAAAGAAATTAATTTAAAAATGTTTGTTTTTCAATCTTCCGTATCCGAAGCAGTAGCATATATTTGGCTGCTCGCTGAAGGTTCCACTGGTACATAAGTTGAATGAAAACATCGGGAAAATATAGTGCGCAGATCTGCCCTTTCTTGTCGCTTTGGAGATTCTGGAATGCAATCCTCGTCGTCAGAGGTTGAAGATCCCACGAACTTGGGTACATCTGTTTCACGTACTGTTACGCTGGAATCTGTTTGATTGTGTGTAATCTGCGATATTTCTACCTCCATAGATACAGGTTTCAGCATACTTCTATAGGAGACTGATTTCGCATTAGCAGGCCGATCATTATTTCGAGGAATACCAAGAGAAGAAGGAAAACTTTGTTTATCTCTGCAACTTTCAAATTGAAATAACGATGAACTATTGCTTAACGTCGATTCTGCGGCAATGCACTTTTGCTTCAAATCCTGTTTAAGACTTTTAGATTGATTTGCTGCCTTTGAAGGTTTCAATTTCCGTTTTCGGGCTGTTTTCAATGCTGCAGTTTCTTGGACTTCGGTTTCATGACAGCTATCGTAAAAACTAACTTCTTCTGGTGACAACGTTGACATGATAAGAAGGCAATGAATATCATCTCTGTGTGTTACACTCGCAAACACCGGACTATTGAAAACAATAATAATTAATAAACAAAGAATTGTATGGAAGTATATCGTTAGTATAGTATGGAAAGGGTTAAACTCACATCGTCGCTGAAATACAAAAAGTCATAGCTAGGGCTCGGAACCTTATGCAAATGCATGTTTTTATTGGGCATCTTCAAATGGAAATGGTTAAATTATCTTTACGAATCATGAAATTTCCTTTAAAATGCCACTCAATCGTTAGTGCATATTTTTGCATATTTTGTGGTGAATGCATCATTTTGCATATAGCAAAAAATACCTGATTTTGTATACTTCTTGTACATATTTTTAGTATATTTTACAATAAATGCATGTGGTTTTTGCATATTTTTACTTTTTATGATTACAATCATTTAAGTTTAGTGCGAAATCTCTTGACAAAAAATGCCCCTTGACAAAAACATTGCCGTTGAGACACTCTCTTCTACCTCTGTTAGATCTCAACTAGTGGAAGACTGTAGGAGACAACTGGCTTATATATCTGATCAATACGAAATTACCCAAATATGGGTCCTGGGACAAAGGGACATTTATATTAACGAGACAGCGGACGATTTAGCAAGGTGTGGTTCCGTACTGAATGTGTTCTACGCGGTGGACATGGGCGCCTCACTCATGAAGATAAAAGTAACAATTTACGAAATTTATCACTCGAATGCCAAGCAGAGGTGGAACCGTACAAGATCGTACAGGATTACCCGGCAGTTCTGGGTGTCCTACGACCCATTTAAAACCAAAGCTCTCTTAAGAATGAGCAAAGAAGATACCTACAAACTTACTGCAGTGTGCATACTTTACTCGCCCGCTGGGGTACATGCCGAAAGGATTGGATTGCCCTTCAACAGGGTATATCGCAGTAGCGATCAGTGTCCAGATTAAAAAGAAAATCGCAATTTCCTAAAAAAATCGCCAAAAATCGCCAATTTTTTTAAAATAAAATTCATGAAATNGTCGCAGTAGCGATCAGTGTCCAGATTAAAAAGAAAATCGCAATTTCCTAAAAAAATCGCCAAAAATCGCCAATTTTTTTTAAATAAAATTCATGAAATCGATTTAACAAATCTTTTATTTTAAAAATGAAATCTTGTTATAATGTAGTTTTTAAAACCAAAAACGAATATAATACCTTCAGAGGGTAATAATAAATAACACAAATCACTTATATAATAGTGATGAACAAAAAATTTTCATTAAAAATAAGCATACAAAAATACAAATATATTTGTGACTATTATATAAGTGATTTGTGTTATTTATTATTACCCTCTGAAGGTATTATATTCGTTTTTGGTTTTAAAAACTACATTATAACAAGATTTCATTTTTTAAAATAAAAGATTTGTTAAATCGATTTCATGAATTTTAAAATATAATAAATAACACAAATCACTTATATAATAGTGATGAACAAAAACTTTTCATTAAAAATAAGCATACAAAAATACAAATATATAACTCACACAACCGCACCACCACCCACACGCCGCCGCCAACAACTCCT